CCCTATCAAGGAACCTATTGTACGGATGAAGAAGGCGCGCGCTTTGCGCTATTGATGATACCCCTACCCCTTCGGCTTCTACGACCCCCTCAGCTTCTAAAGTCGAAAGTAGGCAAAAGAAGAAGTGTATATAGCGTAATACAGATATCGATACATTGCAAAAAGGAAGCGCTGTAAAAAGATAAAAAAAGTAGTCAAAATAAGCGGAAGGAGGGGGGGAAAGAAAAAGCTTGCAACTCGAGCTTGCAACTTGGAAGTTAGAGCTTTTTTTGCTGCAACTTCGATTTGTATGGTGCAACTGCAAGTGGCAAGGTCAGATGCACACTGTGCAAGATTTACGTGCACGGGCCATACAGATTGCTTAATTCTTGCATCTTGACGCGCAACTTGGAGATGCAAGAATATTTTGCTGGTGCAACTTGGCTTGCATCTGCGAGCCAAACACACCTCGCCGCAACCGACGAATTCTGTCGCTAAGCTACTATCGTATTATCAAAAATACTCAATGGCAGCTATAGGTACCTTCCCTGGTATTGGAGTTTTTAATTAAGGTGATAACTTATAAGTGGTTCGTGAACCACTCCTGCTTCCTGCAGCAACCAGGGCTTATGCACTTACTAGGATATATTTTTTTCTATCTTTCTATCTTTCTATCTTTCTCTCTTTTTCTTTGTGTTTAAGTAAGTATTCACTTGCGATATTGATGTTATGCGTATGCGCTTCACTTAAGATGTATAAAATGGGTGAGAGAGACGAGGGGGGCCGTGGTTCTGCTGCTTGATATTCTGGGAAAGCTGATGTCGAAGTTATGGATGGCCATGGCCGTGGCTGACTGGCTGACTCTGAAACTGGAGGAAGGAAGGAGGGGCTTGTATGTATGTATGTATGCTGGTGCGTTTGGAGACTGACTATGATGGGAGTTATAGGTCTAGCAACTGAGATAAAGCATAGTTAGGAATTGAAGGCTGAATACGAATGAATAGCAAAGCTCGAAATGACAATATTGAATTGATCGGCAGCATGGAAAAGAAAAGTAAGAAAAGTTGGACTGGTCTTATGATCTTTCGCTGTCGCTCTGGATGGTAGTCAGTGTATGATAGATACGATTCTCCCTAGTCTTTATAGCATAGAGGTGCGTACAAAACAATGTAGTCGGGTCTTCCAACCTCGAAATGAATGGTAGTCTCAAACTTGTAGGTTAACAGGCAGCGCACTGGTTATTATATCTGGTTACTTACTTACTCGCCTCAATATCAGACGCCCGAAATGGACGTGGCAGAGTTCAGGGGAGCACTATAGTCATCTGCCAAATTTATTTCCGAGGATTAATTTGTTGGCAAGGTGGTGAATATCCTGCAGAGTGATGAATCAGAGCAGCCCGAAGAAGATTGCCGGGAAGGATAGATGTTGTGCTGAAGTAATAAATTTCATGCTTGATCGCATAACGAGGCAAACAGGATAAAACTGCCACTGCGTGATGAGCACAGGGAACGAACGAACGGGCCAAATAGCGGCGTTCAACCCTTGGATAGGCGAATAAGAAGAAGAAGCCAAAAAACCAAAAGAAAACAGGTAGGATAGTGACCGAGACTTGCCCGCCGCGACAGAGGTAGAATTGCTAAGCGATACGGGTTTGAATATGATATTGCATGAGGGGATTTGACGCTGGTGGCTTGTGGCTTGATGGAAGAGGTGAAGTCAAGACGGATGATGAGTCAGCCAGCCGTCTAACGGCTAATCAACGGTTAGATCACGGGTTATTGGTTGTAAAGCTATCCTCATCGCCAAATCTGGGGGAATCCTTCGCAGATTACCCCACGTACCACCACATCCAGCTTCCATCACCCAAAAGCAAAACCTCACTCGTTTCTCGACCTCTCCTCTCTCCCTCACACACACTCTCTCGGTATCTCGTCTACTGCTTGTTCTGCGACATCAATTGTCAGGATCAATTGTATCAAATCTTCCTTTCACGCAACCCAAGGAAAATCAAGACTATATCCAAGGCTCGCACCACCAACAGCCACCCCCTGACGACGACGATATCAAATCCACCCTCGCATAGCATACCAACACCAAGCATACACCTCCCGGGATAAGAATCCCCCCCCCAGTTCCGCTCTGCGTTTGCATAGTACATCACCCGAATCACATCACACCCACCATGTCCCACACCCACCAAAACAAGAAGGCCTACGCCGGCGCCCGCTCCCAGAACCAATCCGCCATAACCTCCTTCTTCTCTCCGGCTTCTGCCTCGCCTGCCGACGCTCCAGTTTCCGCATACGCTGCTCCCATCCTCCCGCCCGCCATCCAGTCCAACCTCCTCAACGTGGGCATGCGCATCCGCAAGTCCGTCCCTGAAGGCTATAAGACCGGCTCCTACAGCGCATTCACCCTCTTCTCTGACACCACCGTACCCACAACTACCACCACCATCACCACAACCACCATGGCCCCGTCCGCACCCATAACTTCTACATCCCCCAAGACCCGTCCGCGCTCTGGCAACCGGGAATTGACCCCGTTCTGTGGGAGTGCGATACTGAGAGTTGGCGGTATGAGTTCGCAGCAGTGGGGTGCCTACAGTCCGGAGAATGAAACGGAGGATGTCCCATTGTTGACGAGTAGTCAGGGGAGCGTGGGGAGTGAGGATGGAGAGGTCTCTACGCCTGTCGGTGGTAATAAGCGGAGATTTTTGGAGGAGGAAGAGGCTGATGATGGTGTGGTGGTCATGGGTGGTATCTCTCCTCTGGGGATACTTGGGGAGACAAGACGACTGGCTGTGCCGAGACGGAAGAAGACTTGGAGTGGGAATGGAAAGCTGCCTGCGCACGCTGGTCAAGTGCGAATTTTTGGGCAGGAGAATTCTGGGGTGGGCGTCGCGGGGGATTTTGAGGATGCGGATTTCTTGGACTACGAGTTAGCAGGAGAGGTGGAGATGAGTGGGTGCAATTAATTTGGGGTTTGAGAACACGATTTGGATGGCGGTTTTGTATATTGATACCTCATCGTCGATATGGGTTGTGAATGGATAATCAGAGCTGGATGGATCATTCGACGTTCGGATCGATCAAACGATACCTGTATGTTTTTTCTGATATAATATGGAACCTGGTAGCACAGCTACCTAATGATGGCACGATTGAGTACGAATGTAGTTGGGGGAAAAAAAACCCTGCCGTAATCCTTCTCATCCAGATCCTTTGCATCCATCACCATGATCACACCATTTTCTCACACCATTTCAAGCATCCAGCCCTTAACTCTCTACCTACCTAGTAAATATTACCTCCTAATAAGATAGACGGCTTGTTTCACACAATTAATTTAGATCGGTGGATAGATCTACTGCATGAAAATGTAGAAAAACAAAAAAGGCTTGCTTGAGTACGGATATGGATGGTGGAGCGCTTGCTTGAATATCATACTCCGTATCAAGGCTGAGTTTTATGCCCAGTATATGTATGTATGTGTATACATCTCTCCCAGCTCGGTAATTCGCCTACTGGTATTCGGTGTTCTTGCGATGGAGGGGGATACACGGCAGCAGTGAAGAAAGAAGGAAGAAGGAAGGCTTGGGAGAAGGTAGGTTGGTTGGTGAGGAGAGAGAGAGAGAGAGAGCTGTGTGGTAAATAAAGTAGTTGGAAAAGTAGTTGGGAGTAGGAATGGCAGAGAGAGAGGGAGTGAGAGGGAGTGACTAGATAGTCCGCGGTTTTGGTTCAAAGGAAGACATAACTTGGGTTTTGCCTACTTGAAAAAGGTTGGTTGGGGACTTCTGCGCGGTTTTTCAAATCTTGATGGCTAGAGATAGATAGATAGATAGGGTGAATGAGTGAGTGAGGTAGTTGGTTTCATTTCAATTCCCTATTTTTCATCCCTTACCAGGCATCCCGCGACATGACTGGGAGCACCTCTTCCTCATGATCGTCATCGTCGATGTCGGAAAGAGGGGAGGTGTTTGGTATTAAGTAAGGAAGGGCTGAGCGCCTGGGGAAAATGTAATTGTAGTACCGTACCGGTACCGGTACACGGTAGAGATGACTAAGGTAAGGTGCTGTTTCGATAAGCTTTTTGCGGCTGGGACAGCTACCGTACGGAGAACTGACAGCGGGGATGGTGTTTGGCAACACGAGGTTTTGGCTTTCTGTTTAGAACGAAGGAAAAGAGGTAAATGAGGATGTGTGGAGTTACGTAGTAGGCTGGGGATTTGCCTGTCTGTTGTCTATTTTTATACTTGCTGCTGCTGGCTAGACTGCGAGTTTTTGCGACTCTCCGCTGCTGAGGAGGAGGTTGTGTTGCGGAAGGTATTTATATATATATATATATATATATATATCTATCTATCGGTTGTCTGCGATAGATGTGATGGTCTTGCGGCTCTCGAAGCGCTATTTGATACTCAGGCGTTGGCTGGCTTGATCGGAATGGAAAAGATAGAAGACTCGATTCGGAGACACGTACGGTTGTGTGGGCAAGCGCCCTTTCTATTTCGCTCACTGTATCTTCTTGATATTCTAGAGCTGCTGCGAATGTCTTTTCCGTTGCTATTTTTTGCGTTTTGATAGGAGGGATGGATTTTATTCTGCTTTAGGTATTTAAGTCGTAGCTGCCAGGTCCTGAACCCATCCATCCACGTTTGCACTTTCTCAACCAGTGATCCAGAGATCGTATTCCCATTAGCAAAGAGAGGTTGGGTATGGATGGCTGCTGCTACCTTCCCAAGGTGTCATGCTGAATGATTCCTAGATATGGAAAAGCGGGATATCGATTTCTAGACCAGCGGCTTCGTTCTCAAGGATACTACAGATCTCTGGGATTTGACAGCCGCATTCTCCGTTGACAACAGTAAGTCGCTGGCGGATCAAGATAAGCACAGAGTTTTCTTGGATCGCCATCGAATTGCAAAAACGCGTTAAAGTTAGAGGGTTCCCGCTTTTGCCCATACCAGGTTGCTTCTTGTGCTTGTGCCCATAGTCAGTTGGGCCGAGAAGAGACAGCGATTTTTGTTTTATCTTTGATGCGTTTTCTGTCTATAGGCTGGAGGTATACTGAGGGCGGGTATTACTTATGCAGCTTCGATTCTCGACCTGTATGTTTTTATATACATAGGTTTTTTTGGGGGGGAGTTCTTAAACAGCTACCACTTCTTTTAAGCTACGGCAAGAGAACCGGCCCGCCGTTGCACGCTCGCACTGGTACCCGAGACTTTCCCCTTGCGATCCCGCTGTTGGTATGACTTGTAGGGAAGAGAAGATTGCTTGGAACAGTGGATTCGATATAGTCGTGACACTTGCGATCACCGGCGAAAGCAGAAAAGTGGAAAGGACGTTCAGTCTCGACGAGCTTCATCCAAAAGAGGAAATTCGTGCAACTGTAAGTCTTAGCTGTATCAACAGCGACGAGCATTTAGAACCGTGGTATAACGCGTCTAGCTCTTGACTCTCATGGACAAAGCTACGAATCTCTTAAAGAAGAGCCCGTACCGTTGAGAAAATGCAGGCGGAAGACGGGACAGACAGATATCTTGATCAATAGAATATATAAATTAATCAAATGGTAAGGAATAACACGAAAAGATATTTCTATAACTTATTAACTTCTTCTGGTTCGATATCCAAATCTCCATGGCCCGTTAGGAAGAGGTAATCGTAGTTGTAAGAATGAACTATTGTGCGGGCGAGGTCTTGATTATTTTAATTAGATACGAGATCGAAATTCCCGAAGACATCGGCCAATACGTAAAAAGTTCCAGATCATGACGCCAGAGAAGGGCATTCATCTTATAGTATTTCATTGTCTTGACAAATTGAGTTCAGCCGATCTAAGCGCTTGGAATCGGATTCTCGCTTATGCGGCGCTAGCGTCTCGAATATACCTATGTTGTACTCTTCGGATAAGGGAATAGCGGGTAGCCAGATGGACGTTTTTCCGGTTCCATCCATCCTTGGGAAGAGATGCCCGCGGCGCGATGTCATGACGATGTTCAAGAATAGATCAACAAGAGAGACTGACGTCTTTCAGCTCGGCATTCGTCTCATCAACTTCCAACACTTCGTCTGCCGTTGAGCAGCCAAACCTAGTTCTTCTGGTACGTGCACCTACCGGGTTCATATGAAATACGGTGCTCAGGGAGATCACACAAGCATTTATTTTGTGGGTTTATTCTCTTACGGGTCTGTTATGTTTCACCAGAGTGTGCCCAGACCTAACCGATGTTCCGTTTTGATTAGTTTATTCATTTCAATTCTCCTTTCTCCCAGACGGACCCCGCTGCGCCAGCATTGGAGCTGCATGTAATGCCTATCGCTGTGGCGCCGGAGCTTCGTATAATAATAGACACGCCATATGTATAATGGTCTCCTCCTCCCCCCAGCTTTCTGTGTCCATCCTCTTCTCGTTCATCTTCCCTCGGACCTCTTCGACCCCACATTCCTTTAGACCAGAGTGATCTGTGATCCTCGACATTCTCTTCAGAATGCTTTCAACCTGTGCGGTTGTCGCTTCGCTTCTTTCCGCCGCCTCTGCTCACCAGAACCTCCATCAATTCTGGGTCAATGATGTTTCTCCAGGGTACGAAGTGGCTATCCGCAGGCCACCTTCAAACAACCCTGTGGTATGCCACCTTGATCAAAACTGCATTCGATCGTGTCACTGATCTGTGTAGACTGATGTCACTTCTGAAGATATTGTATGCAATGTTGGCGGCAATATCGTTCCTTCAAACGTCGTGACCGCCCCCGCCAACGAGGGAGATTCTATTAAAGTCCAATGGGACTCATCCACTCACCCTGGCCCCATCACCCACATGCTCTTCGGCCCTGTCGATGATGCGTCTCAAGCGACTGGTGTAGGCTCTTGGTTCAAGATCGATGAGTTCGCTTCTACCGAAAATGGCACCTGGGCCAACGTGATCATGGCCGCCCAAGACATGACTTACACTTTCAACCTCCCCACTGGGCTTGCCAGCGGAGAGTACCTGCTCAGATCCGAGATGTTAGCCCTGCACGGAGCGGCTGATCTTGGCGGTGCTCAATTGTAAGACACGCAAAGAGACTCGTCGTTCGTCGGGCATCGACTAACCAGGAGCAGCTATATTGGATGCGCCCAACTCAAGATTACCGGAACGGGCTCAGCGGGCTCATGTGGTCCTTCCATTGAGCTCCCCGGCGCTTACAAGGCCGATGATCCCAACATCTATATCCCCGACGTCTACTTCGGACTCGATGTCGCTACCTATAAGGCCCCGGGTGGACCTGTAGCCAAGTGCGGTGGCTCTGGAACGTCTCCATCGGGAACTGGGGATGCAGATCCGAACCCCCGACCAGCTGGACGAAAGACTGCCCCAGCCGGCTCTGAGAAAACCCCCGATCCCGACAAGCCGACTCCCGAAGTCGGGAAACTTACCGGCCTCGATGAAACTCCCGCGAACCCCGACCTCGTGACATCTCCCGAAAACGAGAACAAGCCCACGGTCCCGAAGCCAGACACCACTTTCAAGACGAGCACCAGGAATGTAAGACCTACGCCAGCTCCAGGAGGTAATTCGGGGGGTGGTGGCGGCGGCGGCGGCGGTGGTGGTGGTAGTACCGGTGGTGGTACCGGTAGTACCGGTGGTGGCAGTACCGGTGGTGGTAGTACCGGTGGTGGTGGTGGCGGCAATGGTGGTAACGGTGGTGGTGGCGGCGGCAATGGTGGTACCGGTGGTAGTACCGGTGGTGGTGGCGACGGCGCTAGCGTCGCGCTCTACGGCCAATGTGGAGGACAAGGATTCACGGGCGGAACCAAGTGTGCCACCGGCAATTGCGTCAAGGTCAACGACTACTACAGTCAGTGCATTATGTAGCGGATCACCCACGCCCTGATCGCTGGACCATGCACGCATATCGAAAGCGGAAGCTGGCTGCTGGCTGCTGGCTGCCGACGCGAACAATCTCTTTTTGTAAATAGCTTGGTGCGTTTCCATATGTACTGTTCCAGAGATACCTGAAGTCCGCGTCGACGTTTTCTTGCTTTACAGCACATACATACATACCTACGTACAAGCCTCGCGCCTAAACTACCGTATATAGCCAAGCGATCGAGAGGAAACACGATTCTCTCGCTGCCTCTCTAAGCCTCTTCAATAATCGCAACGCTCGAAAACTCTCTCCAGGATATATATGATTTTCGCCGCTTAAAGCTTAAGATGTTGTAAGCCGTGGAATGATTAGGAGGCGGCGGTCATGTACAGACAGGGTTGTAGCAGATTCTTCCATCTACAAGGTATATAGCTTAACCCTGCCATTTCTGTTCCCGCTCACGCCATTTTCGTGTCATCATGAACTGGACATCAAGAGCTGCAGAGGGGCTGTGATTCACAATCATAGTCCGTATGGTAGTCAAGTATGAGACGAGATGTTGGTGAGGCTGAGGCTTATTGTCTGGGGAAACTAAGAAGCGGTGGTTGTGGGGGGTTGTTGTTGTTGTTGTTGCTGTTGTTGTATTTATCAGCGTCGGGCGGATAGCACGCTTTGCGTGCCGCCCTAGGACCTCGTATGGGGTACGGCGACGTGCCAAGTAAAAGAATTATATATATATATATAAAGTACTATTTAATCGAGAGTAAGAACTACGTCAAAGAAAAGCTCTCTTTCACAATAGCTTCGGGGTCTCTGATCCCGCGGTATCGCATAACTCTCGTGACCTTTCAAAGGCAATTTAAATTGGTATATAGCGTAGCTGCTATCGATCATGCCTTTCTCTCACGGAGAAGATGGATCGGAAAAAGGATATGTCTTCGTTGAAGGAAAAACGTAAAGAGCAAGTTATAGCGGAAGTTATATCGGTATCGACTATCGAGATAATCCGAGGCCGGACCGGAGTCAGCCAAGTAGCCTTTTCGAAGGCGTGATATCGTAGATCGTCTTGAACGCTCTTCTACCTCTCTTGCCCCGTTCTCTCTCTATCGCAAATCCTCTTGGTATTTTCAATCAGTACGCCCGTCAGGGATAGATCGGAGTCGGCGTGGTGGTCGAGGTAAGAGCAGGAGGCTCGTTCGGATCGATCGCCGGTAAAAGGAAATCTCTTCGAGAGGCTACTTTGATTCGATTTCGGCGATCCAGAATCGCTTTGCACGCAGGAAAGAGAACTGAAGGCTCGTAGGGGGCACCTCGGCCAGGTAAAGAATCGTAGCCCCCTGAGAAGCGGTGGTTGTACAGTTAAAAAGAACATTTTACAGAATGCTCAGATGGGGAAGTGTTACGGCTGTCAGAGATAGTATCGATGAGTATAAGGAGTGCGCTCTGTACTGAGAAAGAAAGACGAAGAAGAGAGAGAGAAACCAATTTCCAGGAAGAAAGGCTGTTGGGAATGAGATCTTTATAACTTCTGAAGCCTCGGTGTGTCTGGTGTAGTTGCTTTGGTAACCAAGAGCGCGACGCGAGAGTAGTGGCCAACTCGGTCAAGTGATTCAACTCAATCAAATCAGTCAGGTCAGAACGGTAGCTACGATCCCACTTAGTTCGAGGCATGCAAAACCAATTGAAGACGCCCACATACAACTGAATACGTATTCAGCTTTGTTTCATACAGCCTGGGATACTAAGAAGGGCTTTATACACAGGCCTGCCTGCCCAGATGGGAACTAGTCGTCACGAGGTGTACATGTAACCTGCTACGCGTAGATACGTGTAGCGTAGTGACTAACCTCGTGAATAATCCCATGACCAGTCCGTTGCGGAGTAGTATCGCTGCTGCCGTAACAGAGAGTGTGAATCAGAAAGAGGAATGGAAGGAGCATAAGTACAGGCTGGACTTCTGTAGTCCTGCACTCTTTCATCTATCACCGCTACCATCATCATCATCATCATCATCGAAAGCTGCTTCATTACTCCCCACAGCCAGAGAAAGTCGTCAAACCCGATCCTCTTCAGCCATCATCTACTTGCCTGCCTTCCACCCCTCTCCCAAGAGCCCGCCACCATCTCCAGAACCACACGCCAAGCGACCCGCTTCCGCAATGCCAGGAATCATTCTCGCAACAGAATCGTGGGAGTGCCACAAGGTGAGAGCACCGCCCCCATCCACTTCCCGGATGGCCAACTAACGATCCCCCCAGTGCACCTTCACCAACTCGTACGGTGACTATCCGGACGAGGATAAGGAGTGGAAGAAAGAGGTACCCGACTTGAGATGCGGCGGAACCCAAATGTGTGCCGGCAGTAACGCCCATATCCGATGCGGCAAGTGCTTCAACGTGCTCTCGGATGGCAGCATAGACTACCACTGCGACGGCACGAAGGTCATCAAATTGAACGACGTCGGCTTGAGTCTTCGGGAGGAGGGGTAGAGAGAGGGTGGATCATCACGGTCTGGCTATGCGTGCGGATGGAGTCGGGGGGGGAGTGGTCTTGGAGGGTGATCACTGTAGGATATTTTTGCATGCTGGGATGCTCCGCTGTTCAAGCCTCACACCCTCGTGGGGACTTGCATCGGCGTTAAGGTTCTAGCTTCAAGGTTCGTCAGCATGAGCTGCTGACGGCTTCGCAAACATGCGCTGCGCGATGAGCTTATTTCGGATGGACTTCAATGCATGATTATTAGAAAAATTAAAAAGACAGTTTCTACAGTCTTTGCAGACCTGAACTAGCTCATCGTCGTGAATCGGTGAGCTTTCACTTGAGGATACCTCATGCAAATCATATCAATATGTGTGGGAATATAAGGCATAGGCATCCAAGATCACGTGATTACACCAGGTAGCCGGCCTGAGCACCACTAGCACACAGCTCTCCCTCAGCTAGTATACCTTAAAGGCAGGTGGTTATTTAAACCGTCAGCTGACAATCCGATGACGGTCTCTTTAAAAGACGATTCCAAGAGGTTGGCATAGCTAGTGGATCACCCTAGGCCGATACTTAAAATTGAATAGAATCTGAAAAAAAAAAAAAAAAAAAAAAAACGATTTAAATTATTTAATAGTGGGCCTTGACGTCGCAACTTTTGGGGCCCTTCCTTAAAGTGGGCGAAAAAATTATGTCCCGCTTCAAGCTTCAGCGTAAAAAACGGCGAAAAACGTTGATAATCTAATATAATATTTAAAAG